AGAACTTGCAATACGTCAGGCAGACTCTACGAGCGCTGATAAAGTTGCTAGCGATACTGCTACAACTAATGATTCGGATACTTTTTCCGTTATACAAAAGGTAAATCGGCTCATAGCTGAATTGCTGCGTCCGGATAACAATAATGATACCACCAGCCATATGGAGAAATTAAACGCGCATGCATGTGCGAGTGTTGAGGAGTCACGTCCCGCAGAAAAAGAATCAGCAACCACGCAATTTAGTGGAAATTTATGGCACAACAGTCGTAATGAACGGAACATTTGGCAACTGAACGCAGCAGATAGCACTACCGGGATAAAGGTTGGCGGTGGTGGGGGCCTGGGCAAAGGCAGTAGTGGTATTCACCCAATGCAACTCTTGCGTCAGTTTAACGTAAAGCCAATGGAGAGTGCGACCAATGTCGCAAACGCTTTCCCATTGCCAACTGCTGACGATGCGGATAAATACCACACACAAATAAGTTGGGAGCATGAAAATTTAGCTAAAATTTGGCAAACATCACCACCACCACCACTGCTACCGCCGCCACCGCAACAACAAACACATCAGCCTCCGCAGAATCAACCACAAGATGCCAATATGGAAGTAAAATATGACAGAACGGCAGCCGCTGCAGTTAATCAATCTGAATGCGATGAGAAAACTGATATTGCTGAGAAAAATATGCGTAATTTGCGTGCCAATGCAGATGCGAGTGTGGAAGCTGCGGCAGCGAATTTGCAAGAGGCACAAGAGTTTTTAACCCNTATCTTTGATCAGAAGCAATAATCACCTAAGTCGATTTAAGAAAGAATGCGAGTTATATATAATATCGTATTCTTCAACCACTATTCCATGCCTGTGTGAAATCCCCATCTCGCCAGCTAGGCTACTAATTTAAAAGTTATAGGCGAAAATATTTTGGTTTCCTCATAAGGCGAACATTATAATCCAAATGTTTATAACGTTTTTTCTCGAATTCAGATTTTTCCGACTTAGGCGGTTATTGCTCGTGACCACAGATATATCAGTTGCCACTTGTCACTAAATTCGTTAATTTTTACAATTTGGCATTTATAGGCAGTTACTCGCAAGCGACGACACTCGGCATCACAAAATTATTTCCACGCGCAACTGAATAATAGCATAGGCCCAGCTGCTGGCAATAGCAGCGGTGGCAACGCGTCACTTATGCAGAACAATAACAACAATGAAATCGCCGATTTAAATAACTATGTGTTGAAGTCGTCGTCGTCGTCGAATGCCAATGAGTTGAGTTTTAAAAATTTGCTTAACGTTTCGCTGCGTTTTGGTGCCGCTGCGGCTGCTGCCGTTGCCGCTTCTCATGCCAAGAAAGGCTCCGATTATGGCAGCAGAAATATTTGTGGCGCAGATATTGCATATGGTTGCGATGCAACTGCAGCGGCTGCAAGAAATCATACGATCATTACCTGCAAATACCACTTGACTGCAATCGAACCGCTGTCAATGCACAATGATGACGATGGTATCGATGATGTTGGTTTATTTGGTAGTGGTAACAATGGCAGTGGCATCACAGCGGCACCGCTTTCGTGCCTCATCGACAAGAACCAATCCATATTGAAGCATGTAACCATGGTGTCCCGACCGTTGACGCGTTAAAATCATCTTCATAGGCTGTCTCAGTAACTAAACAAAAAAAAAGGTATGCATATTTAAAATTGCTGTGATATTAAGTCGTTGCTTAATTTTTTACAAACTTGAAAAATAGCTTTGCAACAGTTGATTCAGCCCACTTCCTTATCAGCATCTTTACCACATACACATTTAGTATTTTTCTGCTCCAAATGACCTTTACTTTATTAACTCGTACATCGAGCTTCACCTGGTAGCGAAGGTACCACGTGACTCCCGAATCGCTCAACGTAGTTCGATGATGGTCTTCCCATGCGCATGGCTGACCTGTCGCAGGCAGTGGAGGAGTTTTGGTCCGCAGGTGGTACCTTCGACTGACCGCTATGCTAAGTCGTTCCGCCAGCTTAGTGACCTGGTCGACGACCTCGTGCTCTCTCTTAAGCACCTGTAAGTAGAGGTGCAGAATTAATCTTGCGATCACTCACACTTGGCACAGTTTTTTCTTATCTGTCGAAAAGTCGCTGTTAAGCAAGCCGGTTTGGTTTAATACCTCCTGGCTGTAAACCGTCTAATGGGCACGGTAGCGCATAACACCTTGGTAATCCAAGGCGTGTTACGACGGCTTCGTCAACGTTCCCTAGCGGTTCCAGTATGGAGTTCAACGTGAGCCACTCTATTTCCTAAGCGCCTGCACCACAACAAAGGGGCGTTTAGAAGGTCCAAAAAATCAGTAGTTGCAAAACTAGAATTCCTCTTAAATACATACATATCGTCGTTTAAAGTACAAAACCGCGTATCGTGATTCTGCAAAACCGCGTAACTGACATTGGCTGCCAAAAATTGGATTTGCTCACACAAGCTCTTGGCTCAATCCTTATCCATTCGTCCTGAAATATACTAGGCAAATATGCGATTGCTTTATAAAAAAGAGAACCATTTTGAAATATGAGTATTTTTACCCTCTAGAAAATAATTTCTACAACTTCACATACGCAATTTGCTGATACGCGGTTTTGCACTTTAAACGACGATATGTATAAATTAGATAAGCGAATTCCTAATATATAGTTTAAAATTTTCACCAAAAAATTTATTAAAACTAAACCTTTCACAAACACTTTCGTCATTTTCTTGCAGGTGCTTGGAATTTGGATCTTGTTGAGTGGATCGGCAGTTAGCGTGGAAGAATAAAAGCTCAATCACTTTCTGAAATAAAATACTTCGGTAGCAGCAACTACAGCAATTCACATGGACTAAGCAAATAAAATCTGTCGATCAGACGGCGGCGCACATTAAATGGTGTGCGCCGACGGTGTACTAAAAGCAAAAAAAAAAAAAACTCCAATATATATAGTATATATGTATACACATATATACATATATACGAGAGATAATTCATGTTAATTTTCGTAAATTTAGTTACATAGAACAGCAACTAGTAGCTTATCGTTTATGTGTATAAATTTATTTAATGCCTTACTTAGTTTCTTTGACTTTTTTTTTTTTATAAATGTTGTAAAATATTCATATACATACTACTCTCAAACATATAAGGAATCGCTTTTTGTAAGCAATTAAATATATACATACACGCAAGCACACATAGATACGGGAACCCACTAAAAATACTTACGTATGTACATACATTTGTTCGAACTATGTGTAGTAACGATATCAAGCATTACAACTATATATAACTTTTGACTTCAATTTACTTTCGTTGGCGATATCTTTGCTTTATCTTTTTTTTTGACCCCATCAGCATCTAATAATCTATTTCTTTTCACAAAATTTAAACATTAAAAGCCCTTAAAAAGTTGAATGCAACAAAAAAAAAAATATAAAAAATATATATAAATGTATAGACCACCCACACGAAAATAGCAAAAAAATGCAAAAAAGAGTAAAAAAATTAAAACATGAAACATTTCTGTATGTAAACCTAATAGTTCATGTTAGATTAGCTGCTTGTGCAAACGCGACATAATGAAATACGTAAATGTGAGCGACAAGTTTTATAGTTTTCTTGCTAGCCGATAGCTAGAGACGTCGGCAAACATGCAATATAAATGATCGGGTTCATTCATGAAATAATACAAAATTAAAATTCACTTACACGTTGTGTACAAGCCTACATATGTACATACATACATATTATGAAGAAGGATGCGTACGCAAGCAGCAGAGTAGAAAACCCCGTCCCGAGAAAAACTGAACAAAATAATAATAAAACAAGTAATAAGGAATGATAAAAAAAAAAAACATTTAAGCTTTATTTATTTTCCGCTTTGAATGTGCATAAGAACAAACTGATTCGGAATCGCGTTAGTACAAAATTAATTAACTGAAAAACCAAGAGTTTATTAGTCAACGCAGCAACATTTCACAAATTAGTTCTCTATGTGTATATACACCTTATTTCTTCAAGTCAACGATTTTTGCTGATCCAATTGTCGTTATTCTTTTTAATGCATAAATTAGACCAGAACCATAAAATCTATAAATCTAGCTTTGTGCATTTGCCTGCATAGCATTCTCGCCAAGTAATTTGCTTTTCAGTCAAGTTTTGGCTAAATCAATCTACAATAACCTAAATTTTTATAGAGGAAAAAAACTTAGTTTGAAGTCGAAAACAATATATCGCACGTTTAATATAATATAGAGATGTTTTGATTGGTATGAATTGGATAGCGAAATATTAATACTTAAAATTTTATGCACACAGAGTGATTCACTTAAAACTGATGCGTCCCGCACATTCTTTAGCGGAAAATGTCAAGGTAATATACCAATTCAAATAAGTAAAAATATTTGAAGTTGGGCCATTAACAAAAGAAACGAAAAAAATATATAAACGTGGTAATAAACTCCATCTCCATTTACTGTGTACAAAAAAATTTGTTTGTTAAAGCCACGTTGTTCTTTGCAGCCATGCACTAAAAAGAAAACAAAACAACAACACACATACATTTTTTTAATTGGATTTCAAACCTTTGAAAATATTGGAAAAAGCGCAAGCAAATTGTGAACCGCTTGCGCATTATCTCTCTTTTTTTGTTAATAGGCAATAAACATCTGTTGAGTTGAGTTTAAATGTATAATATATACTCTACATGTAATAAAGAGAAAACCAATATTGGTTCAACAAGAAGAGCAAACCAAACAAAAATGCATTGATTTATTTATTTAAAATGTTTGAATAGTAAATAAAAAACGACGTAAAAGACCGCGCCCTTGGGAAAAAATCAGCGCCGGTTGTTTAATGTCTGATTAATGCTGCCATAAGCTCGTTAAGCGTGCGGGAGCTTAAATTGACAGTTTCGTTTTAACCAAATTCTCCTCGAGTTAATTGGAACATTGTGAATAATTTAGAAGAAAATTCATAGAAGTTGTGTTGAGCACAGACAATGTCTGCATTAGGAGCTGAATTTTTTTTTTTTTAGGGAAATAGCTAGTTCTCGCTAGAACAAAATTTTACCGGCAGCAAGAAAGCAGCTGATTAATGGGCCAATTTGTCTGCTTTTTTTCAATACATGCTATATAAGTAGAAAAATTTTTGCGTAAAATGGTCTTGCTAGGTGGCGCCAAGGTCGAGATATTTTGAAAACCCGTGTTTATGGTCAGATTTGGTTTGAATTCGGCAATGTAGTTAAAACATAAGAAATCATAGATTTCCAAAAAATTGACTCTGAATTGGCACTGAAGTCAAAATATAAAGTATATTCGGCATAAAATGCATGTTTTATTTGCTTTGAAAATTCAATTAAAAGCAATATTAACAAAAATATAACGATGGTTCTATTGTTTTCATTTTTCGGCTAAATATAGAGCTAATTATGTGCTATACAAGGGTGTAAAAAAAAGTAACAGAAAACAAATGTTTTCCTTTTCTGTATCTCATTGAAACGTACGACTGTCACGCATGTGACGTATGGAAATACCCATATAATAATCAGCCTGCAGCCTCAATTTTGGTAAAATCAACTAGACACTGTCTGGTCAAAAATGAAGACGGTGTTCGCATGAGGCGATTTTCCAGGCAATTTTAGAGGCGACTAGTTGAGTCATAAGTTGCTTCCCCCCAACTTGCGAACACCGTATAAGAGTCGCAAATCTAATCGCATTCATAACTGTAAAATGCTCAATATTTTCAGATACAAAAAAGTGGCAGCGTTTACATATGCAAATACATATCGTGTAAGAGCGCTGAAGCTGAACATTCGCACATTGGGGCAAATGCTTTTTGAACCAAATTCTGATTCAAGTTTTGGTTAGGCGCTTAATCAGACATTGGGCAAACGGTATTAACTGTTTCTGACACTGCTGTTGTAGCTATTGATTAAATGTTTCCGTTAATGGAAACAAATGCGATCTTCTTCAGACAACAGTCACTTAGGCGATATTGACGGCGGCCATTACCGACGGCTACGTTCGAAATGCTGGCATGTAAATCGACATTATGCGATATACATATTTACACATTTTCAAAAGCTGTTGTTAAACTATTTTTGTATTGAACTTTATTTGAGTATTTTTTTTTGGGTTTAACGAATTTTTTTAAGCCGACCAACAAAGTAGAAAAAATATACGTTTTTTATGTGAAATTTTAGCTCATTTCGGCTAACTTTGATGTTGAAAATCTCAAAGCGTCTGCTAACACATTTTGCCAATGTCGTTGGTGTAATATGTGCAATGCAGCCAATAGTTTATTAAGTTTTTCCTTGTTGTTTTTCTTTAATAAAGTTAATCGTTTTGCGAGACTAACTTAAATTTTGCTGTTAAAATATTTGGTAAATTCTGTTTAATGTTGATACATATTTTATTTTGTTTGATATTTATGTATTTGTTCTTATAAATGTTGTTGATTGATTTGTAGCTACATATACATACATATCGCTCATTTACTTCAATAGTGTCATAATCAAAAATATATACAGTCAGTCAATAAAGTTTAGGTACAGCGAATTGTTTGCATTATGGGCAACTATTTTTTAAATATTTTATTTTTCGCTAACTTTGTATAAAAATATGGTTAATTCTACAACAAAAACCCCAATAAGCAGAGTTCCAAACTTTGTGCCTAATCAAATAAAATTTTGCAAATTTTCATTCAAAAATTTGCACTTATTCTTTACACTCTTTAGAAAAAAGTTGAGTATGCAGCTTTTTAGCCGATTCAATTTTTGTATAATAAATTATCGAAAATTACTTTATATGGCAAAAATGAGCGACGCCTTTAACAAAAAAAAATGCCAAAAATCAATGGTAAGTTCTAGCTACATCAGACTTGTACTTTATTATACTAAAATTGAGTGGGCTAAAAAGCTGCATACTAAACTTTTTTCATAGGGGTGTAATTAGAAAGTGCAATATTTTAATGAAAATTTGCAGAATTTTCTTTAATTCTGTACAAGGTTTGGAGCTGTGATTTTTGGGGTCTACGTTGTAGAATTAACCATATTTTTATTAAATATTTGCATAAAAAATAATTAAAAAACAGTTGCCCGTATTGTAAAAAAATCGCTCTACCTAAGCTTTATTGATTGACTGCAAATTTTGAATTGAGTATGCAGAAATTACCGCTACCTCTTCTTTTATGTTGTGTAAAAATGGCATAGCCGTATATACATATACACCAGTAAACTCACTAAAACAAAATATGTATTCCATTTTTACTATGGGAGTATATACATATACACTATGGAAGTAAATGAGCGATATGTATGTATATTTAAAATAGTTTAAATATCGCAACTAAATCTCCAGCAGTAAAGTAAATGAAAGATACGAAATGTCATAATTATTTTATTTGATATTTTTGACCATTTAATTGCGAGAAAAATTTGCAATTTTCCAATTTCCTCTTTTTGAACAAAAAAAAAAGTGCAAACATTCGTTTATTTTTTGTTTTCTATTTTGAACGGTGTTTAATTTCACTTTCCCTCCATTATGTTAATTTCCAATATACCACATTGTAATTAAGTGTTACTTTATTTTTGTTTTAGCTTAATTGTGTTGGAAAAATAGAACTACGCCAAAAAGTATATTCCGCAAACTTTGTGTAAGAAATTAATTCAGTAAATAAGCACGAAAAATTTGCAAAAATTATTTCAAAATTTGTTCTACTTTTTTTCCTAAAAACAAATGGCTAATCTTAAATTATGCCTTTAAATATGATGCATGAAAAGTAAGGCAAAAATCAAGCTAATTGGTAAATAGAAAGAGAATAAATCTTACAATTAAAAAAGGGAAGCATATTAATTATGGTAGTAAAAGTATTTAATTAAGTAACTACTATAATTACTAATAATAATTTAATAGAAACGCGCACTGTATTTTGATTTATAATACATAAATGTATGTAGGAACCAATTTCATCTATATAAATATGTATATTTAACGAGTATATAGTGTTAGTGACATCTATAGAATTGTGTGAATGCGTCTAGGCAGCAACTGAATATGTTTGGAAGATTGCACTAAAACAAAGTGAGAACATGTACATAAGAGCGTTAAGCAAAATTTTGTGAAAACAAAAAAAAATGAAAAAGTGAATGTGGGCATGCCAAACAGAGTTAAGCGCTACTACAGATAAACACATGCAAACACATATACATATAATATACATACATACATGCATTGTATGTATAAACTGTAAAACGAGTAGCGTTTCCATACAATTGTGTATCTGGGTATGGAATTGTTGGTTGTTCAAGTGTATACATTCTATTATGTTTTCATTTGTAGTACAATATGTATTCAATTGGGTGAGCAATTTTCACATGATTTTTTTAACCCGTGAATAGCTCCCCTAATAACAATACCTCTTCAGTCCAGTT